GCAGCATGGGAATGAATAGGGAAGACGGGTCTGACTGCCGTGAGCCAGGAGAGGGGGTAGTGGGGTAGCCTGGGAGCTGGGGAGGCAGCTCAGGGGCTAGTGGATGAGTCTTCAAAAACTGAGTTAGCATTGCTGGGGCAGCCACACAGGCGCCCAGGCCAGCTCCCTTCTCCCAGAGCCTCAGCCGCAGAGCCTGGGAAAGTTAGTCAGGTTCATAACCTCCCTTGCAGCCAGAGGCGGCCAGGGGCAGTGTTAACCCAAGGCTTCAGTGAATTTGGCCTTTGCTTTCTGGAAAAGGGGGACCACTATTAGTACCACCCCTGCCTCCATCTACTTCTTCCTGCCTCACTTGGAGCCGTGATGCCTGGACTGTGGAAGCCATTCTGTGAACAAGAGGCAACAAAGCACAGTAAAAAGCCAACTTGGTGCCAGTGATAAAGCAGAAAGAGGAAGGATCTGGGTGTTTGACAACGCTACTGACAGCTGACCGACTTCTAAGGCAACACCTAGACAGGGCATGAGGAGAAAGGGAGGCAAGGTGAAGTTGGGGAAGGGCAAGAGATATAGACCCGTTTGGGTGAAGGGTGGGTAGCGGTGCCCACCACTGAAAAATGAACTAGGGCAGAAGGGGAGCAGATTTGGGATGAAGAGGCTGAGGTCAGGTCTAAACAGGCTGATTCTGCTGTGGGGCACCAGGGCAAGATGCCAAGAAAGTGTAGGGCTCTAAGAATTAGTGTAAGTGGAGAGCGGGGGAGCCCTTGGCATGCTGTAGAAATGAGGTCACCCCAGACTGTGTGCTGCGGGGCAAATGAGCCAGGTACGGCCCGGAAGGACAGCCCTGGCCAGCCCCCCTGGGCTCAGCAATGCCCTCCTCAATGTTTGCCACGGGGCCTGGCTTCCCAGCTGCCAGGGAAAGGCCAGTGAAGTGCTTTCCTTTAACTGGGGAGCCAATTAAAAGGTAAGTGACCTGCCGTGCCAAGTGAGTGGGTGATGCTGGCTGTGGAGGTCGGCGTCGGGAGGAGCTGCAGATGGGCTGGAGGAGGCACGTGGGCTTGTGGCAGGTGATGCTGCCTACCCAGTGTCCTACCCCTCCTCCTCTCTGTTAAGAGATCTCATCTGCAACAGGCAGCAACTGCCCAGCCTAAAACAATCCATTTCCATTTCCCTGGCAGCAAGGAGGGACCGAAGAAATGTAAGCGGATGTCACTGAGTTGGATACCCTAGAAGTCCCTATAACAGTGAGAGAGGGATGCGCCATGTCCAACTTTCTACCTCCCTTCTACTTGCTGCCTGGGGTGACATGGGATGCAGGCGGCTCCCACGACCATTTGCACTGCAAGATGAGCTTGAAGAAGGGAGAAGTGAACACGCTGAACAGATCAGAGCAATGACAGGAGAGCAGCATCCATCGGCATCAAGGTGCCACCAGCCCAGCCCCAGACCTATCCCTGATTTCCTTTATCTAAGAGGACGAACGATTCATGTTAAGCTACTGCTCTTGGTTTTGTTTTTTTTTTTTTTTTTTTGGTTTTTCGGTTTTTCTCCGGTACCGGGAACCGAACTCACAACCTTGCGCTTGCCAGGCAGGCGCTTTGCCGCTCAGCTAAATCCCCAGCCCTGCTCTTGATTTTGTTTAAGGCTTTTCTTTGGAGTAGGGAGGGGGTCTAGCACTCATGGCTAATCATCATGCTAGCAGGATACACTACAACATATACGGGCGAACTACGATGAATGAACTGACCTTCCCATGCTAGCCAACGCGCAAGGGGACTTGTGTGCTAGCTCACACACAACTCTCACCCTGACCCTACAGGGTGGGTACTATTACTAACCCCATTTTTAAAAAACAATGTATTTATTCTGTGGTGCTGAAGTTTACAAGGTACAGGGCTGAAGTTTACAAGGCCCAGGGCCTTGCACATGCTGGCAGCAATCTACCTCTGAGCTACAGCCCTAGCTACTAGCCCCATGTTTTAGCACAGTGCAAAAACTGAGGCAAAGGGCTGGGGATATAGCTTAGTGGCACAAGCACCTGCCTGGCAAGCGCAAGGTCCTGAGTTTGATTCCCGACACCAAAAAAAAAAAGAAAAAAAAAACCTGAGGCAAAGATAAGAACACTCTCCTGCCCAAGTGCAACTATACCCAAGTGTGTCAGGTCAGAAGGTGAGGCAAAGCCAGGAATCTGTGTGCTCAGGAGTGGCCTGGCCTGGGCCTGAGGCTGTGGAGGGGGGAGTAAAGGACAGAATGAGAAGGGGTAGTGATCAGAAAGGGCCAGACTTGATCCTGTGCACAGTCAGAGGCTAGCAACATTTCTGGGCTGAGGGAAGCTACCACCCTTACTTGTGGAACCCACACAGAGTGTTCCTGTGAGTGGAAGGTCTGATGCAGGCTGCCTGCTCCCACCAGGGCTATCCTCTAACCCCATGGGCCTCCTGCACTAGGAGTCCCTGTGGCCTGGCACAAAGGCATCCAGATGCCCAAGCCCACCCCGCTTCAGCGCAGTGGGAGTGACGGACAGCGGAGGGCCTGCCTATCCAACACTGTACCCCTTTTCTGACAGGACCCCTCCAGTGTATCTGCACAGCCCAGAAGGGATGGGCTCTATCTCTCTACTCCTCGGTTCCTAGGGGTAGGCATGTTGGCAGGCCTGGCCAGTCAGTCGCAGTGACTGGGTCAGGTCAGGGTCTTGAGCTCAAAGCTCGGCCAATGAGCATCAGGCCTGGGGCTTCTGCTGGAACATGAGGACTCCTCTTTCCCCTACCAAGTAGAGAGAATAGTAACTGTGAGTCTGGGACGGCCATAATACGTAATAATAGCTAATGTATATTGAGAACTGGCTAAATGCCCATTTCACTGTCCCTAAGGCCTTTACAAATGTCACCATCCATCTTCACGGCAAGCTCGCAAAGCAGGTAGAAGACAAGAAAATGGAGGCAAGGAGAAGTGAAGCAGTTTTCCCAGGAGCACAGAGCTAGAGGGGTAGAACTAAGACTTTGATCTCAGAGCCCCATTCTTTTTTTTGTTTTGTCTTCCTTTTTTTTTTTTTGGTCTTTTTGAGACAGGGTCTCACTATGCAGTTCACACTGGCCTTGAGCTCACTTTGTAGCTCTGGCTGGCCTAACTCATAATGACCCTCCTGCCTCAGCCTCCCCAGTGCTGGGATTACAGGTGTGCACCACTGCATCCAGGTTTGATAACATCTTTTGATAACATCTTGGATCCAGTTATGCTTGCAAACAGTCATGCCTGTAGACTTGCAGCTGAGTCAGTAAATTTCCTCTTGGTAAGCAATGGTTTGACTTGGTCTTTGTCTGCTGATACTGACATTTCTAGGGATCACAGCACATTTGGCATGGGCCTAGAGTGGGCGCTGGGCCTTGCAGAAAGCATAGTGGGTCTCTGCTTCTCAGGACAGTGAGCTCCTGAGAGCAACTGGGCCTTCCCCTCCCTGCCCTCTGCCAGCACAGTGAGCTGGGTCCATCTTCCTGTCCTTGGGCCAGACCTCTCCCACAGTCTTCTTCTAGAACCCAAAAGAACCCTAAGATCCTCCAAAAGGATCTCATTCCTCTATCTTCCTTAGGAGTTATCCTTTGGCCCAAGCACAGGTAGGGGGTCTGAGGTAATTCCCACCCCATCCCCACCCACCTGCCGCTGGGACTCGTAGAGGATGCGGTCCATGGTGTTGAGCAGCGTCATGCTCCTGTAGAACTTCAGCACCTTCTCCTGGGGCAGCTACAAACAGAGACAGACAATTGGGACCAGGAAGGAGACAGGGAAGGCACCTGGGTATGGGGTATGGATTACGGGATATGGGCACAGGTAGGGGAGTGGCCTCACATGGGGGTCCTCGCTGGGGTTGATGATCTGGCCTTGGCGGTCCATGACACGGTAGATGGGGATTCCAGAGATGACATTGGGCTGGATGAACTCAAGCTTGTCTATGAACTCTGCTGAGGCCCCTGGGAACTGGGGTTTGTCATCCAGGGAGGAGAAGGCCTGTTGCTGCTGCCTGTGAGGGTGCTGTGGAGAGAGACAGAGGGGCGCCATGTCAGCAGCAGTACTGAGGTCCTAGCTGGGCCCATCCTGGCAGCCAGCATGGTGGGTGAGCTGCAAGGCCTGAAGAGACTTGGCCCTGCACACAAGACCACAGATATAGGGTCTGAACCCTGTTCCGCCAAGTTCTTGACATGAGACCTCAGTCAAGTTACTACAATGTTATGCCTCAGTTTCCTCATTTGTAAGATGGGATGAAACAGTGATACTTCACTGGAGAAGAGCCTGAGCACGGCACACACAAGGCCCTGGGTTTGATCACCAGCACTAAAACAAAAAACCCATAGCATCAATCCCACACTGCACTTGCAAAGATTAAATAATGAAGCGCTAGGCAGCTTATAAACTGCTGGCTATTACTATTCTCATTATCACAGGCCCGAACTCTTCATCCTGGCATTACTACGGCAGGCAGAGACACCCCGATACCACCCGCATGGGAGGCTACCTAAAGAGTTTAAGGTTTTGGGGCTGGGGATTTAGCTCAGTGGCACAGCGCCTGCCTGGCAAGCGCAAGGTCATGAGTTCGATTCCTAGTGCCTGAAAAAAACAAAAACAAAAACAAAACAAAACAAAAAAGAGTTTAAGGTTTTGAGCGCTTAAGGGGCAGACTAAAAAAATAAAAATAAAAAAAATAAATAAATTAAAAATAAAAAAAAATGGGGCAGACTGCCTGGCTCAAATCTCTTTCTGGGTGACAAGGCAAAGTGACTTCCCCTCTCCCTGTGTGCCCTCATCTATAAAATGTGTAACACCTTGCGAAAATGTGAGGTGTAAAGGAGCCCCTGTGTTTAAGGTATTCAGCCTTGTAGAAAATGTGCAAAATCGTGCTGGCTGTGAGGGCTCCTGCCACATCTCTATTCTCCCTTCCTTACGTGAAGTCCTCCTCTTCCATAACCCAGCAAACTGCTCCACACGCTCCAGGGCCCTCTCAACAGCAGGCCTGGCTCCCCAAACAAGCCCAGAATGACTCACTCAACAAATATTTGCACACCTTTATTTCCAGCCCTCCGCAGGTTTCTGGGAATCTAAGACATCTGTCCTGGTTGCCAGTAGGGGAAACAAGTGCTGACCAAGCAAGGATGAGGGTGATTCATTCTACCTCGCACCACAGCAGAAAGCAGGTAAGACTTCCCAGAGGAAGCGGCATAAGGGTGAACCCCGCAGGATAACTAGGAGGCAGCAAGAGAGAGTTCCAGGCAGGGGGCTGGGATATGCAAAAGACAAGAAGCACGGGCCAGGGTGTAGCTCCACAGTGGAACACACATCTAACATGGGAAAGGCCCTGGGTTCCATTCCAAGCACAACAAAGAGGAAAGAAAAGAAGAAAAACCAAAAAAAAAAAACCCTTCCTTTAGCCAGACGCGGTGGCACACCATACCTGTAATCCCAGCACTCTGGGAGGCTGAGGAAGGAGGATCACAAGTTGGAGCCCAGCCTGGGCAACTTAGCAAAACATTGTCTCAAAATAAAAAAATTAATAAGGGTTGGGGATATAGCTCAGAGTTCAAGGCCCCTTGGCTCAATTCCCAGCACCTCAAAAAAAAAAAAAAAAAAAAAATTTATCCTTCATGAAAACTGCTGGCGCTGAGTGTGGAGGAGCGCTGTGAGGACACCACAGCTCCTCAGATCCAGAGCCCGCCAGCGGGGAGAGCCGGGAGACCTGCGGGAGGCCTAGCGCTCAGCAGGTGGCCCAGTGAGACGGCGCCAGGCCCCACTGCGCACCACACTACCTTACCAAGTCCTCGGGGCCTCAGGGAGGCGGGACTGTTTGCCACTGCCCGTGAGATGAGGAAATCAAGGTGTGGGGAGGTAAGAACCCTGCACCAGGCCACAAATCTTGAAAAAAAAGTTACGTCATGACTGGGTTTCTAACTTGCAGGGCTGAGATTCTGACCTCAAAACCCAGGCTCTGGACCCCAGCTGCCGCGGCTGACCCAGTTCTCCCACATCTGCGTCGTGTCTTCCCACCACTCCCGCATTCCTTTCAGGTCAGCAGTTGTGGCTTGGCTTCCACAGTGGGAGCTAAAGAAGGAGCTCACATGTGGGGGTTCACGTGTCCCCCCCCCCTTCCTTTAATTGCAGTGAGGAAGCTGCCAAGGCTCCACTGGGGTGGTACGTTATGCGCGCACCATTATCTACATTTGTGGTTGTGCGGAAATTACACTCCCTGCAGCGGGGCAGGTTCAGGCCCGACACCATGGCAGACGTGGCCTCCCCTTGCCAGGAAAAAGCGGCCTGCCCCTTGCAGCAGCCCTCTCCTCCTTCCCGGCACCTGGGATGGCTGGGCCTTTACATCTGCCTAGAAGATTCCTTTGCTTTATGTCTGTCTCCCACACACAGCACAGGTTCCAAGAGTGATGGGGCAGCATCCAGCTTGCCTTATGCAACAAGCGCTCCACAGGTAATTACCCAACCAACAGATGAATGAGCGGTCAGGTTCAGTGGCTCTGGAGTCAGACTGACCTGGATTCTAGTTACTGAGCTCACCATGTGGCTCTCTGCAAACACTTAAGTCTCTGTGAATCTCTCCATGTGCAAAAATGCTGCTGAGAGCTGTGGGCCACGTTCCTGGGATGAAGCATGCAAGGGGTTCAGAGCAGGCTGGGGCAGACCATGTGCTTAAAAACTGGGAGGACACAGAAAAACAAACCTAGGAAGGTTAGAAAATGGGAACGGGCAACGATGAAAGCAGGGTGAGAAGGAAGAGCTGGCTGCACCTTTTTTTTTTTGCAGTCCTGGGGATTGAACCTAGGGCCTTATGCATGCTAGGCAAATACTCTACCTCTAAGCCCACCCCACATTATTATTTGTTTTTTAAACTGGATCTCACTAAATTGGTCAGGCTGGCCTTGAACTTGGCAATCTTCCTGCGTCAGCCTCCTGAGTAGCTGAGATTATAGGTGTGTGCCACTGCACATGGCTTAAAGTGAATTTCAGTATCAGATGGTGCCCCCCCCCACCACGCATATTCCAGGGGGAGAAGCTAAGGCAGAGAGGGGAAGATATGCCCACAGAATGGGCCTGCAGGCTGAAGTCTGGGGGCGCGGGGGGTGGTAAGAGGGTAAGTGAGGGGCTGGCAGGGGTGAGGAGGGAAGAGGCTAAGGGCTGAAAATAGGCCATGGCAGGACTGCTGGCCTCTGGAGGAGGGGACGCTGCCATCAGAACTCCACAGTGAGCCTCTGACACTGCAGCTGGGCCCAGCTCTTGCTACCCCTCCTTTCCCGAGCCTGTGCAGGTGAAGGTCATCCCTCCTGCGAGGTCACTGAGCAGAATGAATGAGCTATGCAGAGGGCTGGCCCTGCGGAAGGGAAGGGCTTCTTTATGGTGTGGGTGCAGAAAAGCCTGCGGAGGAAGGATATGACTCCACCCAGCTTTTCCTTCAGCTTTTAGTGGTGGGGCTGACCTGGTAGCCTGAGGCTGCACAGATCTACACAAAGCCTTGGAGCCGCAAAGGGGCATGGCTTACCCCTGAGGGTGGCTTGGTCCACCCAGCAGGTTTGGGATGGGCCCTGAGGTGCTATTCCCTCCATGACACAGTTCAGCCACAACATCAAGCAGACCACAGCCTCCCTGAGCCTCAATTTCCTCCTGCGGATGAACGGAGCTGACGTATGCAGAGGACTTGCCCCAGTGCCCGCACGCAGGAACACCGAATAAACACAAGTCACTGACAGGTGTAGCAGATGACCCTTCTGATCTGATAGGCAAATGCTCAAAGCTGGCTCCAAGGCAGGCCTGGCCTGACGCCTGGGGACAGGGAGGGGCGGGAGGTGTGATGGTTAGCCACACGGCAGGACAGAGCTGAAGTGCCTGGGTGTGAATCCTGGCTGTGTCCTCTGCCAGTCACACGACAGGGCTTGAGAGATGGACCAGGCTCCCCAAACCCACGTCCCTGTGCAGGGAAGCGCAGCTGCGTCTCAGGCTTCGGGGAGGCAAGTGAAGCCCCTGCTACCAACACCCAGGAGGAGCTTTCTCCAGCCACCAGCAGGCAGAGCCGCTGCAAACTGTCCTGGAGAACGGGAGCTAAGTGAGGCTGCTGGACAGGCAGGAGAGAGACAAAGGCAAGGGGCTGGAGCACGTGGGTTCTGGGGAACCAGGGCTCACAGCCTGGCACTCCGGGACACTGGGCACCAGGACACCAGAGTAGGTTCATAATGGGGCCCAACGCACTTCACTCATCTCTGCCCATACCACCCCAGGTGAGGCACTTTGATCAACAAAGGTGTATCGCAGGCTCAGAGAAATCACAAGTGATGTCACCACCCGAAAGCAGGCAGCCTGACCACAACTGCCCCAGGAGGCTGGAAAAAAGTGAGGTCCACAGAAGAGGTGGCTTTATGCATGGGCCAGATACATAACTCCAAGGCCTCTCTATTGAGGACAGCTAAGGATACTCAACCCGGCTCTGTCTCTGCTCTAGGACAGCAAAGAGCTGGGCCTCGCCCTGGGCCTCAGGGACCCAGGAGCTTTAGCAGCAGTCCCCAAGGAACCACAGGTATAAGCCCTGATGGAGGTACTTTACTCTTTCTCTCATTCAGTCAAGACCAAAGCGCTGGGCGCAGGAGCACACGCCGGGCTGAGAATATACGCTAAGTGCCCCACAAGAACTACTTTCTTTAAACTTCATTAATGCTCTCTAACAGAGATAATACCTTTTTTTGAAAGGTAAGGTTTCACTATGCAGTTCAGGCTGGTCTTGAACTCACTGTGTAACTCAGGCTGGCCTTGAACTTGCTGCGATCCTCCTGCCTTAGCCTCTAGAGTGCTAGGATCACAGGTGTGCACCACCATGCTTGGCTTGGCACTACTAGGGTCTTACAGAAGGAGACCTGGTACTGGGGTCCAAAAGCTTCTATGAGGAAGCAGTAGGTTGGCCTTCATCTGAAGGATCACATATCTACAATGGTGTCCAGGTGGGAGAAGGTATGTATATTCAATTAAAATAAAAACAACACAAGGCCATTGTTTGGAGTTAGGCTCCTGCAGTGGGCCCTGACAGACTAGACCAGTGATGGGCGCACACATGCTGCAGCCAGCTGTTTGTATCATTGAAAGCTCTTCCATCACTGGACCAGACTAAAAATCAAAACAGAATCACTATGCTGAATTTCGCTGTGACCAAACCAAAACTAAATTGTCATCTGACCACCTGAAAAATAGGACAAGAGAAGGACAAATTTCCCCAATGGACCAATTATGAGGAGCGTAACAGTAAAGTTCTCTTTGCTTTAATCCTTATCAAAAAAGACTTTAATAGCTGGTTGTGGTGGCACACGCCTGTAATCACAGAGGCTGAGGCAGGAAGTTCACGAGTTCCAGGCCAGCCTAGGCTACATAGTGAGTTCAAGGCCAGCCTGAACTACACAGGAAGATGCTGTCTCAAAGATACAAAGAAAAAAAAAACAACTTTAATCCTTACAAAAAACATAACCCAAAAGAACCCGGTGTGAAGTCATCAGTTATTTTACTATTGCTCTCTCTCCATACAAGTTACAAAGAAAGTAACCTTGAAAGCGCTTTTGTGGAACACTTCCTTGTTTCTGCTTTCTTCCTCCTTCCTCTTCTCTACAAAACCAACCTCCTCTGCTACGGTCCCTGAAACACACTGTCTCATGTAATGAAGTGTTACACTGTTCTAGAATCATACATGAAGCCAATTAAGGGCCCCAACTGCAGTGGGGAGTTGGCCCAGTGGCAGATCGCTGGGCTGGCACTACGGTTTTATTATAGAGAGCTAAATTACTTAGAAATATTGTAGGCCGGGGCTGGGGATTTAGCTCAGTGGCACAGTGCCTGCCTGGCAAGCGCGAGGTCGTGAGTCCGATTCCCGGTACTGGAAAAAAAACAAAAAACAAAGACAAAAAAAAAAAAAGAAATATTGTAGGCAATCAGACAGGGCTGGGCCCTCAAAAGGTCAGTGCAGAAGACAACTGTGGCTGGAGGTGTATTCACTGAAGGCCAGGCTTCAAGAAAAAGTGGAACTGCTCACCCACATACTTCCGCTAGGGATGAACAGCAGTGATTGGTATTCTAAATAGACATCGATCAAATGGGGGGGAGACACACACCAAACCTCCTTAACCTAGCTAGCCCTTCCAGGAAAGTTCGTGTCCTCCCACGTGCGCTTGCTTCGTGACTTGCTTCTCAATTTGATCCCCGTTTAATCAGTATTACTCCCTTGTTGTGATCTTATTGGTTCACCATTGTTTTATCCCACCTCACACCCATCCTGTGATTTTTCCGCTGGATCAATATTACCTAGGCGACTATATGTGTAATCTTATTGATTGGTTATAGTTCTGTCCTCTTCAAACCTGCCTCACTTCGTGGTTTTGCTCAGTAAACACCCTTGAGAAGCGAGGTCAGTGGATAACCCACTTTCCAGGCCCTCTTCTGTCCCTCTTAGAAGCTTTCTTTCTCTTAATACATTCTTCCTACTCTTAACCTCTGGTGTTCGTAGAACTCATTCCTCGATTTTAGAGAACGTGAACTCAGCGTTTCAGACACCTAGTAGGTTAAGAGTTTCTTTCCCCGGCTGGGGATATAGCTCAGCGGCACTGTGCCTGCCTGGCAAGTCTGACGTCCTGAGTTTGATTACCAGTACCAAAAAAAATAAATAAAAATAAATTTCTCTCTAGACGTCCCACTAATCGTAGGCAGGACCTTTGGCAGGTGACTAGATTATGGGGCATTATTCCTAACTTGCTGTTCCAAGGTGGGCCCTGGTTGGAAGAGATGGGTCACTGTGAGTGTGACCTGGAAGTTTATAGCTCCCTTCTCCTTTTCATTCTGTCTGCTTCCCGCCCACCGTGCCACAAGCAGCTTTCCTCTGCCATGTCCTGCCACGCTCTGGGCGTTTGAGCCAGCTGACTATGGCCTGAAACCTCTACGAATTATAAGCCAAAATAAACCTTTCCTCCTTTAATTTCCTAGTGTTGGGTATTTTGTCCCAGCAACAAGGGAAGTGACTAAGACACCTGGTATGCACAAGGACCTTAGTTGCATCCCCAACACCACACACACACACACACACACACACACACACACACACGATGGTCTGTAGGGTTGATGTGCAGAGAGAGAAAGGCACTTTGAGCTTGAAGCCAGTTCTTTCCAAACTAAGTTCTACAGGCAGGTTGAGCAGAGGCTGGCGGTACAACCCAGGGCTGGATCCAGCAGGACGATGCAGGACTGAAACCTAAGTCCACCTTCCTCATGGTAGCTTGGAAAAAGCTGGGCTTTGGACTCCAGAGTATGATGTTCAGAACTTCCATCTCGGAGCCTCAGTTCTCCCACCTACAACAGGCAGGTGCTACCAGCACGGACTGTGCAGCATGGCTGTTTTAAATACAATAGTGAATGTGAACCGGCTCTTTATAATGTGAAAAAAAAAATTGATCTCTTAAGATGTTAGCGAAAGGGAGAAGAATGCCTATGACCAGGAGATCAGTAATGACCACCTCTGCTCATCCCCAATAACCACTGCGCCCCTACCTCCTGGAACGCTGCATGGGACACTGGAGCCCTGGATGGGCCACTCAGAACAGCTGGGCTAGAGAAATACTGTCACTGATAACCAGCATCGCCCAAGCTCCAACTGCTCCCTTACTTTCACCCCACAAGCCAGGATCAGAAAAATGGCTTGGCCAGGCGCAGCCCTGGGGTGGTGGCTGCAAAACTGACTTACTTATGACTACCTGACAATCACGTTTCCTCCCTTGTCTCTCTGAGCACTAGTAACAGTTTTGTGATAATAAGGAGGAAAGAAGATGAAAATCAGGCCCCCTCCAGAGAAGCAGGGTGTTCGGTGATGGAAGTGATGAGAGGACAGGGGCAAAGCATGGCTGCCCAGTCCCTCCTTCCCAGCCCCCTGCCCCAGAAGCCCCCCTCCCAGCCCTTCTCAAGATGCCAGCTCTTCATCGCCACCTCAGTAAACCCATACTTCCAATATGGCAGCCACCAGACACTTCCTTTCTCAAACTGCATAATGCTAAAACTTCAATTCTACAATCACTCTACCCACATTTAAAGTATTTATATGTGGCTAACATAGAACATGTCTACTCTCACAGAAAGTTCTATGGGACAGTCAAATCTTTGACTACTACTGCCTGTTCCCTCCATTCAAAAAGGTAGGAATTTAAGCCAGGCAGAGTAAGGCACACCTGTAATCCTAGCACTTTGTTTTGTTTTGTGTCTTTTTGAGACAGGGTTTCACTATGCAGTTCAGGCTGGCCTTGAGCTCACTTTGTAGGCCAGGCTGGCCTCGAACTCGCAATGATTCTTCTGCCTCAGCCTCCCAAGTGCTGGGACTACAGGTGTGTGCCACCACACCTGACTTTTTTTTTGGTACGGGAAATCGAAGTCACGACCTTGTGCTTGCCAGACAGGCGCTGCGCCCCTGAGCTATATCCTGACCCGATCCCAGCACTCTGGAGGCTGAGGCAGGAGGATTACAAATTCAAGCCCAGCCTGAGAACTTTTCCAAAAAAAAAGGAAGGAAAGAAAAAGAAAAACAGGACTAGAAATACAGCTCAGTGCAAAGCCTGTGGCTTCAATCCCTTGTACTCCAAAAAAGAAATGAAATACATGGTGTTTGTTTGTTTTAAAGTAGTGACTGTTTCAAAAACCTTAGAACATAGGGCTGGAGGGTGTAGGTCAGTGGTAGACCATTTGCCTAGCATGTGCGAGGACCTGTGTTCAACGCCCAGTATTGGCAAAAAAAATTACAACGTGGGAAAAGGGAGGGGGGGAACCGTGACTTAGAAAATGTAAAATTTTGCCTGGCATGGTGGCTCACACCTGTAATCCCAGCACTCCGGAGGCTGAGGCAGGAGGGTTGCTGTGAGTTCGAGGCCAGCCTGGGCTACAAAGTGAGTTTGAGGACAACCTGAACTGCATAGGGAAACCCTGCCTCAAAAAAAAAAGTAAAATTTTAAATATATTGAAAGTAGAGACTTTTCCCTCCAACTTCTCCCTAAAAATAAAGGAAGGCAGAAAAAGAAGAGGGAAGGCAACAGAGAGACTGAGGCATACAGGAAACAGATTTAACCACTCACAAATGACCTTTCCCTGGCCTGCGTCTAGCCTGCTCACCTCCTGACCCACTTGCCCAGCCAGTTGCTCTTGAGACTCAGGTCAACTGTGGAGGCTCTGATTGCATTTTCAAAGTAAAGCCAAAAAGAACAGCTCATGAACAGAAGAGTTTCCTTCCCCTACCCTGCTCCTGCAACCCTTCTACATTTTCCTGTTTCACGGGTCTTCCTTCATGCCTGGGTACCCACACCTCACTCCCGGGCCTATCCTCTTCACTCTCCTGTGTTTCTCCTCCTACCCAAAGCTCCTTCCCACAAATTCTACCTTCCTTGTTTCATGAACTGGCGATCAAAGGGTCAGACACAACCTTACAAGATCTTGACTAAAGATCTTAATTCTTCCCCAGGTCGTTTCCAATCCAGCATAGATGAACAGAAAAAAAGAGATGGAAGTCCAGAAAAATAGGAACCAGGTCCCCCCCTTTCCCTTCCAATCTCGTTTCTGTCCCCTCTCTCCACCCTAACAACTGCAGCCACTATTCCTATTGCTTTATAATGTCCTGCGCCCAGTTCTTAGCACTTTTTCTATTTTCACATCGCTATGAGGTGGCCACTATCACCATTT